TTGCAGAAGGACATGTGTCACCGCCTACTTTACTCTAATTCACTTCACCCTTCGCCTGCCTTCCCTTGACATCCATCACCCCGTTATTCTTCTCCACCCCCCTCCTTCGCTTTTGCGCCGTGAGGCACGCAAGAAGCGGTACCTAGCGTATACCCATAGATGCAGTAAGGTAGAGACTCAAGTGTGGGCCGCCCAGCCTACACAGCTGTACCTGTACCCAAAGTACCAACCAACCCGCCGCAGTTCCCTTCAACGCCTTACAGGGGGGCGCTGCCTCTCTGATCGAATCACATTCGGCTGCGTTGCTCGTCAACTGCTTGCAACCGCCCGTCTTTCCACTCCCGTCTCTCACACAGTTAGTGTAGGTTACCTTAGACTCATCCCTCCCGCCTGGCCTTGGCTTGCACCCATGACTTTGGAGGTGAAGTGTGCACCTCACTCATTCACTCCCTCGGTTGGGAGCATCCATCCATCCATCTCCCGTCTCGTTACTTCTCTCGTCCCTCTTGCATCATTTTCCATTTCCTTCCTTTCATAACCCGACTCCGACGAAAACGACGACATCTCGAAAAGTCAAACCGCATTCCTGACGCTCCAAACTTTAGACGCAGCAAACGACGAACCAAACGGATCCTTCCCCCGCCACCTACCGTTCGGTCCAAGTCAGGGGTGCGCATTTTTCCAGAAATTCCCCAGTTTTGTGACAACTCCCGCCCTCTTGCTCAAGACGACGAGGGTCGGTGAGCAAAACCCCAGACCAGGTCCTGCCTGCTTCGGTTCCCTTTTCCTTCTTCCCGCCAGCTTTCTCGACAACTTGGAACTCAAACACTGAACCATCCCACCCTGATCCTCGAACGACGGTCCGCTTTGCCTTTTGGGCACCCAGAAACCTTCCTACCCACCACCATCTTTGGCAAGCTTCGCTGTCGGGTCACTTTCTTGCCTCTTACTCGGTGCGCCGACGGCATTTCGACTCGACCCCGTCACCGTCACTGTCACAGCCAACCTCTCTACTACGACCCGAAGAAGCCCCCCGCAGCAAAGCACAGCAATTCGGCTAGCTCTTTCGGGCTACGCACCCATGCTCCGCCATGTCCTCCCAAGATCGTGACGTCGAGGTCGATGTCGACGCTGATGGCCGAGTAATCTCCCTCCCCGACTTTGGAGATATGCGCCCGCGCAAGGAGGCCGAGAAAAGTGAGAAAACCGAGAAAAAGGCTTCTCGAAGCAAATCAGAGCGCAGCAGCAGGTCCGACAGAGAAAAGGGAGACAGGGAACACCGATCCCACCGCGTAAGCTCCCGCTCCTCAAAATCGAAAATCGCCGACGGCAGCGGCCTCGGCAGTGACGTCCATTCCCACTCCCACCGCCGTCACCGCACCCGCGAAGAACGAGACTGCGATCGAGAGAGAGACCGCGGACACGACCGCTCCTCTTCCATGACCGACCTCATTCCCGAAATGTCTCGGACCTCGCTGACTGGTCCCGCCTCGACTGACCGCATCTCGCTTCCCTACCCGACCTTCAGCAAGGCCCACAGCAAGGAAGCCGTCCGTAATAGTCGCGAGGACGTCTCGGGTTCAGGCGTTGGGACCACGAGAAGGGCTGATCCATTCACCCCCGAGGCCACCGATCTGGGCGACAGCGAACTCAAGCGATCCCAGAGCGTCGATCACTCCGAGAAGCAGCGCAAAAGTTCGTCCAAGAAGGAGTCGAGGCCGCCTAGTCCGCCCGAGACCGATTTGTCGGGCAAGAGACGGTCCGCAACCCCCGAGGAGTCGTCAAAGAAGGTGCGCGAGGAGCGTTCGAGCTCGAGACTTAGCGGTGAGACATCCAAGAGAGACCGGGAAGACAGGCCGAGCTCGCGTCTCAGTGGTCTGTCGAGATCCGGCTCCAGAGCCGACGACAAGTCCCGGGTGAGCTTCAAGTCAAAGACTAGCAGTCAGGCGACGTACGTCAAGTCGCCGGCGTTTCCACCTGGTGTCCAGGAAAGCTTGAATATCAAGCCGAGCACTTCTAGATCTTCCTCGAAGCGAAGCTCCTCGAGCAAGAAAAGCCGGCGTGTAGAGTATCACGATGGCGACTCGTCTCCCGAAAGCCTGCAGGACTCATCTCCTAGAACCCCTACGCAAGCACCACCATTCCCGCCGCCCTTCGCCATGAACGACAAGCCGCCGGGCCCCCCTCCACAGGTTTACCCCGAAAACGACATCACACCATCAGCCACTCCAATGACTGATATGCCTCCTCCAACGGGACCTCCTCCTCCCCCGCCACCACCTCCAGCCCTAGATGTACAAGAAGCACCGCGGGTGGACTACCTTTTACAGAACGGCGGTCTGATCCAGCCGATCCCAAAAACGTTTCTTTCCGTTCTACCTCGCCAGAATGGCGCCCGGCCATCCAACCCACCCCTGGTTGGCCCGCAGACTTTGTTCGCACCCTTTTTTAACCTTTTGGACCAGTACAACTCGGTTCTCAACCGCAACGGTTCTGTAGCAGTTGCAACTGGCCATCGATCTGTGGCTCGCCGTCTTCTCGACCGCCTCGAAAACGTCTTTTCCCGAGAGCTTCCTGAGCATGGATGCACTTGTGTAGTATGTGAAAGAGGCCCCGATATTCAACATCGTGGCCTCGGTTGGGGAGAAGTCCTTGAATGGGTTAGCGGCCGCATTGATCTTCCACAATGGCCACCTTTTGATCTGGCCAGCTTGGGATCCAATGCTGCCGAAGTATCAGCAGAGCTGCCACCGCGGCCCGACTCGCCAGTCAAGATCGATCCTGATATTGCCGAGGAGTTCCGCGAGCACTACCTCAGACAGTCTAAGAAAGTCAGGGGAGCCGTTGACAAGTGGCTCAACACCTGCGGAGAGACCACCGCGCCGCCGCCTCAAGATGTAGACGATGAGACACTCACGTTTGCCATTCTCACCAACATGGACCCTGAAGATCAGCCGTATTTTAATGCGATTCTGGCTGGCTCTAATCACCCGAAGCCGGCAACGAGGGCTCCTACACCCTTGCATCGCGCCCGTCCGGATCTTCTTGTCAGAGCCGGCTTGGCTCTACAGCGTCTCTACCGACTGCAACAAGTACCCCGAGACGCAGAGGTTGCCATGTATCTCGTCAAGAACCCCCACACCCACGATCTACTTGTCACAATGTCCGACATCAACACGCAAGAATGGGAGATTTTGACTTCTGGACGATTTGATGGCTTCCTCTGGTCCGGAGCTGATGGCGACGATACCCCCACAGCTGAATCCCGTGGTGCCACCCCTGCAAGCGGTTACAACCCCTCTCGGCCAGGGACCATGAGCCCCAGCGTGCGAGGAACGCCAGGCTTCTCGGCATCTCGCAACACTACACCATTCTCTGCCTACTCTCGCGGCGCTACCCCTGCGTCCTTTGTGAGCAATGCCTCATCCGCGGCGGCCAACAAGCAAGCAGTATCACGAGACGAAGAGATGGAGATGGCCGTCTTGGCAGAGGTAGAGCGAGAAATCTACCAGGGTATGGAGGCGTTGGAGGACGCGTTCGAAGCCCTTCACCTTAGGGCCGAAGTCGTCCGAACGGGGTTGCGCAACCGCGGAGCAGGATTGATGCACAGCCTTCAAAGCCGCCGGCGGATCGATGTCCTGCCCAATCCGAGCTCCGGCAACTCGCAGTCATCAGGCTACGAACGGCCCAGCTGGGCGCAAGGCGACTACGACGCCAACAGCGACAGCGAATGGGGAGGCGATGACTTTGAGCTGGCCCCCGACGATTCGGCGAGTAACATTAGCAGTTCACGCCACCGACGACCAAAGAGACGTACAGAGCGACGGACACCGGCGCCGATTGAGGAAGATGACGAGGAAAACTGAACTCTACGATAAAAGGAAAAATAATGAAACGCGTTTTTGTGATGATCGATTTTTTGGTTTCCATGGTGGCTTTGTTGTTCAGTGAGCCGGAAAGCTGTTTACGAAAAAAAAGGGGTCGGAGAGATGAAACGAAATGATGTCAGAGTCACGAAAGTTTTATGGTTGTTTTGAAAATACCACGGTGGAATTATGCGATGAAAGCTGCAATGTTGGGCCTGCCATTCAAAGTTTGGATGGACGTCGATGCGATGGCCAACGTGTTCGTGGAGGACCTTTGGGGAATAGGGGAGGTCCAGCCGACTGGATGAAGCTTGTTGGAAGGTTGGACACGTGTGGAGGGAACGGTTTGGGGTCTATTTTTGACGGATAGATCCAGGTATGGATGGATGGGCACACACGTTCAAACACGGCATCACCATCATCATCATCATCGCATGCATTCAGAGGTCTTACTTGAAGTCGGGGGATTTTCCTGTTCCCGTTTGCTTGTTAGTGGGGAGAGGTTGACTGCGCCGCTGCGAGACGCGAAATTGTCCATGGCCTTTTCAATATCTTTTCCGGCTTTGCATTGTTCATGGAGTCTTGGGTTTATTTGTCACATCGTCGTCATAAGGCGAAAGAGAGGTCTATTTGGTTCTTCTTACCTTTGCCCTCAACTCAACTCAAATTCAACGTTTCCAAGGCTCATGGGTTTGTCTTGTTAATGTAATCGAACCCTGCTTCCGTCGATGTCATCCCAGCCTCTCATGAGACCAGATGCTCTGTAACTAGATTCTTGAGCTTCACTCTCGTTGACTTTGATGACATTGCTGATCGGTCACTTCAGTGGTTGAATATCACAAGGACAGAGAGGCGAGAAACCAGGTCATGTAAATCATCGCTATATCTGAATGACCGAGAAAGCAGAGATGCGTACGAGTCTATCTATTTCGATGGATCTAGTTCCATAACTGAGGCCAAATGCTTTTCTCTTCAGCCAGATCCTGTTGATGACCCAAAGAGATGATGCTTATGATTCGCCCTCTGTATGAGTAGGCGCCCTCAAAATTCGCCATATGCTTCATAAACCATCTCCCACTAAAAAATGTTCTCCCTTCAGACCAAAATACGCCCACCATCATGTCCAAGATGGTATCAATCCATGTCCATCCTATCGCCCTGGTGAGCCCTCAGAACTTGGCCAAGATTCCGGGTACCTCGCTTCACAGCCACGGCGTTCCTGCCCGCAGCCTCAAATTCCTCCAAGTCTTTTCTGGCCCTTTTGGCGTTTGCCACCAGCGTTTTCTTGTCCCTCTTGGTTGACTTGTGCATGGCATTGACGGCCTGGGCGAGAGGAAATAGCACATCCTGGAGACATGCCCGTAAGGCCTGGTTGTCGTTGCGGAGCTGTGCCAGTGCTAGATCTTGTTTCTTGAGGAAAGTTGTGTGTGCCTCCAGTTCCACGGCAAATTTATAGGAATTGCCAACCTGCTCTCCGATAGCACGGTCAATGTTATCTAGTCTCTGTGTTTGGGCGAGGAGCTGACCGCCTTGATCTTCAAGTTGAGTAGCATGATTGCCCGAGAGAGCATCTAGCTTCTTGACTTTGTGCAGAGCTCGTCTAAGGTCCTTTGTAGAAATTCGCTTAGCGCCCTTAGAGGAGGAGGAGGAGGAGTAAGGACTCGGGGGCCTGTTGGACAAGGAGTCGGCATCTTGATGGACCGAATTGGTCGACTTCGTTTTCTTCGTCAGCTGTTCGGCAGGTTTGCCGACGCCATCGATCCTCGAGGCCTGCTCAGGTCCGGTACCGGGAATGTCTTGGGGATGACGACTGGCAGACACTGCAGTCTCTGACTCCTCTTTCTGACTGGCAATGACCCGTGGCGGTTTTGGGAGCTGGAAAGTGGCTAGCGACGTCAAAGCCTTCTTGGGACTGGTGGTTGTGGCTTCCGCAGCAGATGAAGCCTGTCGGGAGAATTGGCCGGATGGCTGAATATCCTCATCTTCAGGATCATCGATCAAGGAGATGGCGTTGTCAAATGAAGATTCCCTCTGTTGCTGCTTGGCTTGGGCTAGAACCTCCTCCGAGTTGTCTTCTGACTCGGATTCAGGGTCCTCGGAGGAACGCTTCAGGTTGCGTGACACTCTGGTAAGCTTCTTCTCGGTGTGTGGCAATGTCGGATCGCAGCATTTGGTCGCATCCCAGCCAGACATCTCGAGTTTGGTGATGATGTCCTGCGGCAGACTGACATTGTTAATGAGTCGGATCGACTCCATCATTGGCGCCGAAGGGGGCCGTTGCCTGTACTGGGTTTCCTTCCAGTCCTTCATGAAATCGCTGTATACGTTCTGCTCGCTGATTGCTTTTGGCTTCTTACTATCCAAATCCCAGGTTACCTTGGAAATGTTGGTGTTGATCGCTTCGTTTGAGGCCGGATACTTGCTGTAAGCGGGATTCTTGTAACGTTTAGCCCACTTCCTCCAGCCAAGGATTGATTGACCCGTATATGGCTTAACCTTCGTTATGGCGGGCTTCAAGAAAGACATCGCTTCCTTCTGAGTAGGATTTTGTGCTGGAGTGTGCTGCAGTGAAGCTGTAGTTGCCTGCGGCGGGTTGTTGTTGTTGTTGTTGACACTCTTGAGTAAAGTCTGGTTTGGCTTGGCTGTCAATTGGCCCACAGGCGTAGGTCGAGAAGGGACAGTCAGCGGCGGTGTTCCTCTTTCTGTGGATTCTGATGGAGAGTTTGTCTGCATTCGATCAGCTTCGAAGAAGGAGGATGAAGGCGAGGAAGGCGAATGTCCCATAGCCAGAGGAGGTGCTGTGATTGTTGTCTGCGGCGTCATAGGCGTTACAGGTGTGATTTGGCTCTGCTGTGAGGATATGCCTGTGGACATTGATGTACTCATATTGATGTGCGGAAGATGGTTCGGAGAAGAATAGTTCGTAGAATTCGAAGTTTGGGAAAAGGCAGGAGGAAGACAGCTAAGGGCTGAGGAAGAAGGTGCGGTTTCTGGCCGACCCTGCCTTCCGAAGCCTTGTGGGTAAGACCAATTCCGAATCATAGCGTTAGGAAGCTTCTTCTTTCGGAACGGCAAGGGACTTGGTAGGTTTCTGGAGGAGCTTCGACCTCTTGGTTGTTTGCAGTAACTCGATCCCTGGTATCAGAGAAGCCGAGTATGACTGAGGGAAGTCGAAAGTCGCGAGTAGATAGGGGCTTAAATCTTGTGCTTCGCCGGAAATTATTCCTCTCGTGTAGAGGCTAAATGTTTGAGCTTCAAGACAAGGTATGCATGCGAATGACCGTATACTTACCCTCGACTTGATGAATGTTCTGGCGTGGAGGGGTCAGAGTCGGCGGGCGAAAAGGACGTCGTTTCTAACTGTCGTTTTGCCCGTGCCTTCCTACCATCCATCAAATGTATTCGGAAGTAGCTGTCGTCGACTACCTGCCTAATTTGCGGTTTATAGATCTTCTGCTTTTCGTCACTGACTTTCTTTAGTTCGTTGTCGCGTTGCAAGAGATAATGAATATAATGAGAGAAGCCAGTGGCATTCAGAAAAGGTGCGATGGGAAACTTAGCCATAAAGCAATTCTACTGCCTGATCAACGAGCGAGGAGGGAATTGTGTGAATCCTTGAACAAGAACATGATTTTATGAGAATTTAACAGTCAGGAGCCTCCGCGCTCAGAATTCTGGTCTTCTACCAAAGAAACACGTAGCATTTACTGATGCACGCAGGACTCTTCGGCTTCTTTTGACCTCTGTCCCGCCCAATAAATATCAGAAGGGTGACGACACACGTCCACCATGACTGACATTGAACTAAATGCGAGGTTGGACGACAGGTCTCCATGGCATAGAAACAAGACTCACTGGTGCCTACTCCCCAGATATCTGCATCTATAGGAGTGATATTCATCATCTTCCTTGTGCCCCCTTGATCTGACTTGGGCCGCTTGTCGACAAACTACGTCCCATTTTGCTCCTGGGCAGTTTCAACCAAAAGTCGACTGCTGAGAAAAAAAGACCAGATAACCACACGTGCCGTGATTGCTCAGGTTCTCGAGTGTGGCTATGGGCCATATATTCTGTCACCCGCCTGCCACACCCTCAACTCTCTAAATATAACCATTCTCAAACGCAAAAGTAAGTACATGCAACCACACCAACAAGAGCATTCGTGATCCTATCCGATCTGTCAGATTCCAGATTCCCACTACTGCCGGATCCCACCGCCCGCAGCCAGCCCCTTTCTACACTTGTACCAGCGGCCTGGTTACGGTTAGAATCTTAACGATTGACCCCCAATTTGACAAAAGCAAGTAATGTTTTAAGAGTACCGAAAAGCTCCCTGATATCAACGGAACAACCCAGAGGGATTGGCTCACCGCTCCACATAGCCGATGGGATGGGTGAAACACTCCGATCCTCTGGATCTAGAGGTCCAGGCGTCCTGCACCCTGGTGACATTTCCCGGCACTCGACCGAGTTGAAGAAGAAATATACCGGTACCGAACACGGAATTTACCGTCGTCACCCAACTTCAGTCCGAGTATAGGTGTCAATATACTTGGCATGAACATGAAAAGTCTAATCCAGTACTCCCTAGCATTGGATCGTCATATCATAGTCAGAATGGTGGCGTACTTCACAGCGTATTTGTACTTCAAAGTGTCTCTGCCAGCCATCTCTTTATGTAGTCTGATAATCTCGGCACGGCAGAACTGAGCAGGGCGGGTTTTTCGATGAATCAGCGATTTTAAGTCGGAGACAAAAAAAAGCAAGCAAGTAGCCTTGAAAGCAGAAGACACCAAAGTCTTAGCAGTTCGAAATTTTCGCGATCGATATCGCAATACCAATGCTCCCTGACCATTAACGTTGTCGCTAAGAGATAAAAGGTCAAGCATGGGGAAGCCCGCCGCTTGTGCAATTCTCGTCGTCAAGGAGAAGCCATCGATTATGCCCTAGCAACCTCGGAAAGTCATTTTTTCTTACTTCAATCTCCATCATGCTTGCAAAAAGAGCGTCGGCCTGGGCGTTCGACACTGTGGAAACTCCCGCCCTCTACTTTGGCGTCTGCATAGGTCTACTGACACTCACCTCTGCAAAAGCCGTCCAGCAGAGTTTCCTAATCTATTCGAGGACAAAATCTTTGAAGAATATCTACGCTTGGATGTCAGTCATAACCCCTATAGGCCAAAACTAGTACCACGCGGCTCGAGGGGATTCGGGGAAAATTGACACAAACTCCAGGGTATGGATTCTCCTCTTCGCCAACGCCACCCAGGCGATTATAATTTTTGTACTATTCCGCGGAGAAATTTCAATCAAGTAAGTAAAGGCAAAATGTCCCCAACTCGCTCCCACCTACTATTTGCTAAAAGCTTCACAACTTCAGCATTGGCTTCATGATTGCGGACACCATCAGCTGGGTTCTACAAACCCAACTCGCCCCTCAGATTCTCGCAAACAGACTCGGTCTCCTCATGCACAACAAGCAAAGAGTCCGATACATGAAAATAGGTCTGCTCGTCTTCATCGGCATCTTCAACCTCGCATACATTGCCTTGTGGATCGTCTATACAATAGATCCCTCTCGGCTGGCCGTGGTTCTCAACAGATACTTGAGTCGGCTGGATATAGTCATCGATCTGCTAGTCAACATTGTGCTCGACACGACTTTTCTCATAATCATCAAGCGTGAACTTATTGCCGGCGGTCTGGTCAAATATCGGCTTTTGTTCAATTGCGGTGTCGTGGCTGTATGCCTTTCGATATCCTTGGATGTAAGTTTTTCGCACAACTCGACTCCGAGTATACAAACGTAGCACGGGGCTAACTTTCTCTCTCCCTCTCTTCCCTCAAGGTTGTCATGATAATTCTCTTGTCTGCACCAAATTCTTATCATTACACCTGCACCCATCCGGTTGCCTACTGCGTCAGGCTCATAATCGAGATGCTGATGGCGGATTTGATTGCAGTGATTGCGCGGACCCCGCATGAGATGAGGGATCTTTGAGTAGATAGCGGTTCTGGCGGCAATCCAAAGCGCTAGACCACGCTATCTCAAGACGGATCATGCTCAGTTCTGAGACAATCAAATACCATCTTCCCCAATCAGTACACTCACCTCCCTCTCTTTAACAAGTGACATGCTTGGAAAGAACTCGCCGAGGTCGACGGAACAGTATTGAAAAGAGGGAATACAAACTCGAGACGCAGTATGTCCATCTGAACAGCCACATTCCTTCACAATCCCTTCACTTCTAGGACAGCGTAATCAAGGACCAGAGTGTATATTGAAATGATTTTTGAATTGTTGGATTTGGGGGAATTTTTAACTACTTACGACCTGGGGCATCATGAGCTATACATCCACACAACACGCGGGCCTCCCGTACGATGCTATGCCTGCCGCCGGTTTAAAATAAACAGACGGCCATGACGAAGACAATCGGAACATCCTCTGTGGCGCCCATTGAAAATCCGAGCAGAAACAACAACAAGTCCCGTCTTTTCCCCTTCCGCGCTGCTCCCTCCTCCACAACTGCCGACGGCAGGGGAGGCTGCGTTTTCTTTTTTTTGGCGGAACCACCCAGTCTTTCCATACACCTCCCTCTCATATCCAGCTGGCCTCCGGCCATCGTTTGCACGCTCTAATGCTCTTGAAGATCTTCTTCCTTTTGGACCTCTTGTAATCTTTTAGGAATGGGGTAATCGTAAATCTTTGCCTCATCAGTCTTTCCTGCAGCCGCTCGTCCACATCGACAGTTGGCAGCTTCGAGCCTTATCCACCGACTTTGCATTGCGGTAGTGGCTGTTCGGATCATCTCGCGTCTCCCTCATAAGTTCTGAGCTGGGGCGGTCAGAGGTCACTATACTCTTGACACGATCCTCACAGCGGGATGAGGGGCCCGGCTCGGTCATCGATGAAATCTCCGGTAGGGCTCTTAGCTAGCACCACCGTTGACAGGGGCGGCGCCTTGTTGCTGAGCAAGGGCCAGTTGGGCAGCCTGGGCATTCTCGGTTGCCTTTTGCATGACACCCTGCAGGGCGGCTTGATCCTCGGCGGTGAGATGTGACGCAAGGGACTGATAGAATTGAGGTTGCTCCTCCTCCATCTCTGCTCGGGGGTTAGCCTTTGTTCGTATAAGACAGCAAAGCCTGAAACTTACTCATCAAAGTTGCGCTAAAAAGTTGGTAGGGGTCCACCTTGTCCAGGGGAGACTCGAGCAAAACGCTGTCCTCTCCAAGGTCGTCCTCAGACTCAATGTCGTCAACGCCACGGCTGAACTTTTGAGCCTCCTCGTTCAAGAACTCGAGGTACGCGGTGCTCTCATCGCGGCCTTCGTTGGTCTCCTCCTCCTCAGGCTCATCCTCGACGTTCCAGTTAGCCTCGTCCTCAGCCCACTCATCCTCTTCGCCATAGTCATAGGTGCCGGCGTCGAGATGGTAGTCGTCACGAAGTGCCTCCTCACGGTTCTTCATAGCGGCAGGCAGCGTCTTGAACAGCTCGGTGACGCCCTGCAGCAGGCGAGGCCACCCAACGGCAATGCTCTGAGGGACCTGGTCCGCCTTGAGGCTGAGCAGAGCCGCAATCGCGACGATGCACAGCTTCTTGTCGTGCACCCTGGTGAAGTTGGACATGCTGCCGAACCACAAGCTGAAGAACCGGTTGGTCCAGCCCTTAGTCTCGAGAATGTGGAGAGTGAGGATAGGGTTGTAGTGAATAGAGTTGATGACCAGCTCCATGAGGTGGATCTTGTAAGCCTTAACCTTAACATCCTGAGCAGTGAGGACAGTCATGGCGAACTCGATGAAACGCAAAACGTAGTTGTCGATGTTGCCGCGAAGGTTCAGCATCATAGCCTCAGCCAGCTTGCAAGCACAGA